GGACTTTGTACACAATAACAGCCACGTTATGCAATGACTAAGATTGTTAAACTGAACCTTTCTCAGCATTATGAGGATCTAAGACATCTCCAGAGGCCTTGGGATGGAAAGTGCTGTCCACATCCAAAGAAAGAACTACGGAAGTCAAATCTCTCTCACTTATTTTTACATTCTGTTGAGTTTTGTTTCATCTTTCTGATGGTTCCTCCTATTGGTTTTAATTTTTACTTACAACTTCACTAATGTGAAAATATATTTAATGGCTATGTAAATGTACAGCCTATATCAGATTGTGCGCCGTGTTGGGGAGGGTTGGGGGGAAGAAGAGGGAGAAAAATTTTCAACTCAAAAGCATATGGAAATGATTGTGGATAAATCAAAATAAATTAAGAAAATTAAAAAGAAAAGAAATGATGAGCAGGATGGTTTCAGAAAAACCTGAGAAAACTTATATGAACTGATGCCAAGTGAAGTGAAGAGAACCAGCAGAAAAGTGTACATGGTAACAGCAATATTATAAGGATAATCAATTGTGAAAGACTTAGCTGCTGTGATCAAGACAATGACCCAAAACAATTCCAAAGGACTTGATGAAAAAATGCTATCTACCTCCAGAAAGAAGACTAATGAACTCTGAATCATAGTAGTTTCCCTCTATTTATTTTATAGTTTTATTTTGTTTGTGTTTTCATTTGTGTTTGTTTTACATGACTTCATATGTATAATAAATATCACATTGCCTGCCTTCTCAAGGGGTTGGGGGTGCCAGAGAGGGAGAGAATTTGGAACTTTAAAAATGATTGCTAAGTTTTTTTACATGTAATTAGGAAATATTTGATAAAACAAATAAAAATAATTTTTAGAAGATGATTTAAGCCTTTATGTTTATGCAATTGTTATTTTTTTTTGTCACCAACTGTTGAAATCCTATTTGACAACTGTATTTCTTTACATTTGTATTTTGGTAGTTTTGATTAATTCAAAGGTCTTTTCCTACTTTTTTTGGGAAGGAAGAGCATGAGGCAATCAGGATTAAATGACTCACACAGCTAGTAAGTGTCAAGTGTCTGAGGCTGGATTTGAACTTAAGCCCTCCTGATTCCAGGGCCAATGCTCTATTCACTGCACCATCTAGCTGCCCCCCTGCTTCTTTCAGGTGTCAAACTGCTCATTGTGAGTCATACACCTTTCTAAGAGGTCAGGTCAAGTTTTGCCAAGGTGACTGTTGACCTTTCCTGTGCAGAAAGAACCCAAAGAGCAACATTATCCTCCATCATACTCACTGAGATTGGGCCCACTCCTTTGATCATTAAAGGCAAGGATGAGCCCATAGATGGTTTTTCATGTAAATAGCTCTATACAATTGAACTCAATAAGCTTTTATTAAGTGCCTACTTTGTACAAAGCATCGTGCTTGATCCTGGGGGTGCAAAGACTAATGAAAAATTGTCCCTGCCTTTGACCAACCTCATTACTTTCTCCTACAGGTCAGGCCTTCTTGCTCTTAAACTTACTCTCCTTACTCCATTTGTCTCTTCCCATATGTCTTGCCAAGGAAGTTTTCTTCTTGTGAAGTTTCACCTTGCTTTATTGTTGAATTAATCACAAAACATTTATAGGCATGTAGGTGTCACAGTGGTGATAGAATTGCAGTCAGTAAGAGCTGAGTTGAAGCTTTGCCTCAGATAATTACTACCTGTGCAACCCTCCGTATGTCACTTTATCTCTTTCAGTCTCAGTTTCTTCATCTGCAAAATGAAGATTATAGTAATACCTATCTCACAAAGTTGTCATTGGGTTGTGACAGTCAAATGAAATAACATATGTAAAGTGTTTTGGAAACCTTAATGTGCAGTATAAATGCTAGGTGTTATTTTTATTAAGTACCTACTATAACCTGGGCATTGTTCTAGGCACTGGAGATATAAACTAAAAAAGCAAACAAACCAAAAAGCAAAACAAACCAGTCCCCTATCCTCTAAAGTCTTCTCCCTTCACTTTACATGTTTTTATTTTCATTATCATTTTTCAAAAATTCCAGAGTCTCCCAGGCACTTCCCTCCTCCAGGTGTTCTCTCCTATGAATCCCCATGGGGCCCAAAATATTTCAAGTCCCACTTGCCCAAATTCTTCTCCCTATCGGTACTGGGGAACAAAAGGGAGCAGAATTTGAAAGCCGTAAAAAGTGCTCTGTGATATCAGCTACAATCTAGAACCCAAGGAGCAGCCCCAGATCTTACCTGAAAGTGTCTGGTTCATGCAGCAAGACCCTAGCCCAGATCTTTTTTGGTGAGTCAAAGAAGGGAACAAAGTAGAGAAATAAGGGTGAAGAGACAATAGTATCTTTTGTCTTCTAAAGGAGGAAGTATTGGGGTGAGAGAGAGGGAGATAGTAAGTGCGATAAAAAGAACCTTTGTGCCCTGATCCACAGCAGGAGCAGGAAGGTCTCCTGAGCTGACAACAGAACTAGGAAGTATACATGGGCTTCTCTGAGTCAGCAGCATCACAGGGATCCCAGCAATCCATCCATCCCAGTTGCTTATGACATATTACCTTATCAGGGTAGACAAATTAACTTCTAACTTCTACTAAACACTAAATTTTTACAGAAGAACTAGGGAAATTTTGTAGCATCTTAGAATCAAAAAATTGAAATAAAGTGACTTTGGAGATCATTAAATCTAACCCCCTTCTTTTTCCTAGGTGGGAACTGAGATCCAAATAGGTTTAGTGACTTTCCCAAGGTCACTTAGGCATTAAGTAGCACAACCAGCATTTGGTTTGAATCCAAGTCTGCTTTTAAATCCAGGACTCCTTTTACTGAGACACACTACCTGAGCAAGAGAAGATCTAGCTGGACATCATAGGTTAATACATATATTTAAAGGGTCATTGCACTGAAGGAAGATTACACTTGTTCTACATAGCTCTAGGTGTCAAAATTGGATCCAATGGGTTGAAATCACAAGCAGATTTTGGTTCAATAAAAGGATAACCTTTGAAAACATCAGAGCTGCCTAACAACAGACACTGGAAGTTGTCAAGGAAATGCTAGATTTGCACCTGTCAGAAAGGTAGAGGTAATCTGTGCTTCAGGTAGGGTGTGAAGTAGATGGCTTCTGAAGTCTCTTCCATCTTAAAGATTCTTGGGAGGCTTAGTGATTACATGAGCAATAGTGGTAGGCTGGCAGTAGTACTGAGGATCATGTCTACATCTTACTCCCTGGCTGAAGTTAATTGCACCACCACTTAGGTGCACATACCTGATGTGTGTCTGAAATAAGGATCTTAGCTAAAGTGAGCAAGAATCAGTTATCTAGTTTTGATTTAGTATCCTCTTCTGATGCTCTTAGTATGATACTAGGTGCTCTAATCTCTTGGACTATAGGATTTTAAATCCTACCACATATAAGGTATGAGGTATTTGAGGTCTCATAGAAATGAAAACATTATGTGTGTATAACCTAAGAAGCACAAATGCCTTGTCTAGCTTTGGTGCTTGTATTTATGTGGAGAAACAAAGTACTTACCTTGGATAATATTTTTTTTCACAAACCAAACTTGATTTTTCAAGGCTTGGTGCAAATGGCTAGCTCTCCTGGCATTCTATAGTCTCTAATGCATTCTTTTCCAAAAAATAATATTTTTAGTTTTGATTTTTACATCACTTCCCTCTTCTGCATCCCTCCCTCTTCTGTTTCATTAAATCCAACTTTACATCTTTACCTTGTTATGTGGGGTCAAGAAGAGACTTTCATCGTTGAAATTTGAGATTTTTGGGAAAAAAATCTCTTAATGATCTCTTATCATTTTTATCCCATAGGTCAATCGATCTCTTCCTCATTCTTTCTCTCAATAACCTCTAAGCATGGAATAACTTAATTTCATTACTTACTGTTTGCTTGGCAATTGCACTTATCTACCTTTCCTGTATTTCTTCTGTTTGGTGGTGTTTGCAAAACATTCTGCTCAACTTTGGTGAGAAAGCTTCACCTCCTCTTCTCTCCTGTTAATTGACTGAGAAGAATTAGTGTCTACTGCTCATTGCAGTGTTGGCATCAGGCAGGGAAGGATGCATGTTGAAAAGTCCCAAAAGCAAGATAGAATCCCAATACAACATCCAGGCACAGGCCCTTGGGTTAGTTTGTGCATTCTTAACAGAGGAGATAGAGGCTACTGTGGGAGAAAGGCTGAATAAGTACTTGAAGAATTAGGGATTAGTGTTCTCTGGTATTAATAAGGATTTTACCTTTTGGGGGTTCTATTGTTATTGTCTTGTGGATTCAGCCATAATTATTCCAAATCAATGCATAATTTTGCTTTTTGTGTTGGGATAGAGTGGGGAGAAATGTGTCTAGTCTACCATCTTTTTGGTCCTTGATCAACTTTCACATTCTACTTTATAGTATACTTATTTTGGCACTTGTGTTATTTCTACAGAGAGTAATGTCTTCTTTTAGTAACATTCCATCACTATTCATTGTGGAGGCTGAGATAAGGTGAACCTTATTATACTCTCAGCAGAGCTTAGTTCTTAAGTAGGTGATTTCCTCCTAAAAGACCTCTATTGTTCTTTCTGCAATTGAATCTGGCACCTGAAGCCTGAGTGACAGCCACTAAATGGAGACTTTCATCACTGAACCTCTCTTTCACTTGTTTATCCACAAAATGCTCTCTAATAGAACAGAAGTCATTTCTTGTGTAGTCCCATCTTGGATTAGACTTTTGTCCCTGTTATGAACTCAGAGTTTAGGCTTTTGTGATAGTGGGATAGGGGATGAGATGCCCCCAGTAGTACCCTACCAGACCCAATATGGAGTAGGGACTGCTCAAACCATTTCTCTTGAATTTAGTGAAGCTATTCTATAAAGGGTTTTCCCTGCTTAATGAGATGCTGTGTCCTTCTAGAATCTAAGATGAACATACTGAGAGAGCTAACTACTACCCCTGTCTGTGGAAGGAATCCTTAGAGAAAACCTGCCCAACTCAGGACCTGCTTCATGGCACTCATAGGTAACAGCTCCTCTCCTTTGCCTTCTGAGTTCTTCCTTATCTGTTTCCCTGGCTACCAGAGCTGGCAGCACTGGCTCTCTCTGCCCCTGAGCCTTCTCTTCCTCCTGGCCATGGGGGCCAATGCCACACTCCTCCTCACTATAAGGCTAGAAGCATCCTTGCATGAACCCATGTACTACTTACTTAGTGTACTATCTCTGCTGGATATTGTTCTCTGCATCACTGTCATCCCCAAGGTCCTGGCCATCTTCTGGTTTGATCTCAGACCCATCAGCTTTCCTGCCTGCTTCCTCCAGATGTACATCATGAATAGTTTCCTGACCATGGAGTCCTGTACCTTCACTGTCATGGCCTATGATCGATATGTGGCCATCTGCAAGCCACTACGTTACCCAGCTATCATCACTAATCAGTTTGTGGTCAAGGCCACCATCTTCATTGTGGCTAGGAATGCTCTCCTTACTGCACCCATTCCGCTCCTTTCTGCCCAACTCCATTACTGTGGGGACAACACCATCAAGAATTGCATCTGCACTAACTTGTCTGTTTCTATACTTTCCTGTGATGACATCACTTTCAACCGGATCTACCAGTTTGTGACTGGCTGGACCCTATTGGGTTCTGACCTCATCCTCATCATTCTGTCTTACTCCTTTATCCTTCGGGTTGTATTAAGGATCAAGGCAGAGGGGGCTACAGCCAAGGCCCTGAGCACATGTGGCTCCCATTTAATCTTGATTCTCTTCTTCAGCACCATTCTATTGGTACTGGTCATCACTAACGTAGCCAGAAAAAGAATTCCTCATGATGTCCCCATCCTGCTCAATATCCTGCACCACCTCATCCCCCCAGCCATGAACCCCATTGTCTATGGAGTCCGGACAAAGGAGATCAAGCAGGGAATCCAGAAGCTGTTGAGGAGGTTGTGAGGAATGGATTGGGTTCCACCTCTTTTTTTTGATGGACCAACTTTTTGAATGGAAGGCATAGTGATGTGGGTTAAATGATTTGTTTTTACTCTGTAACAGAATTCCATTCCTATTTCTCCAGGATGTTCCAAATGACTGTGAAGGCCTCTCTCTGTCTTTCTCTCTCCCATTGAAAGTCTCTACTTCCTTTATTTCTAATAGGAAGGAGTTTGGAAGTTGGGCTAAAGTCCAGCATAAATGTAATTTTAAACAAATTGATTAAGGTCTGTTGCCCCAGATTTGTTGTGTGATAAGGCTGCCTTATTCCTGAGAAAAGCAGAAAGATAGATAATTAGGGATCAGTTTGGAAGACTAATATTTTTGATAGAATGTAAAAAACAACAATGCAAGATGAATGAACATAGCTTGCATTCCAATAGCATGAGAGGATTTAAAAGCACTTTCCTATTTTACAATCCCATTAGGTAGGTCATAGAGGCATCTCAAAGGAACCTCAAACTAGTTAAAACTCCTGAATCCTCATTTTATAGATGAGAAAACTGAGGCACAGGGAAATTAAGTGATTTGCCCAAGGCAACAGAAGCAAATATGCATCAAAAGTGGGATTTGAACCCAGGTCCCATGACTCCAGAGCCAGTTTTCATCCCCATTCTAGGGTAAGTCCACTCAAATCTATTTCATAATAATGATTACTGAGATTTAAATTAGGGTTTGGTAAATGTCTTACATGCCTTTGGTCCTTATATTAATGCTAAGAGACAGGTGCTACAGATATCATCATCCTCATTTTATAGATGGGTCAACTGAGGATAAGAGAGGTTAAGTGACTTGCCCAACCAATAAGTGTTAGATGAAGGATTTGAATGCAGGTTGCTACTGACTCCAAGTCCAATCCATTTGTGTGACTACCTTTTAATGATTGGAAACAACTCCTTTGACATTTATTTGTGCTTATTTGGATGATGCCTGCCTGGAAAGTTAATTTTAAGACAGTGGCGTTATACTACAGGGACTTCTTAGGCAGTGAATAATGTAAGCAACATAAAATAAAACAATGACAACAGCAAAAACATGGCTAATGCTTTCTGGCAAGTATTTATAGGGACTCTCAGGTTGCTTTCCTGGATCATCAGGGCCCATCACTCACTTCATTCTGGTTGAGTTATTTTCCCCTTATATGTAGCATCATAGTTATACCCATAATACAGGCTTATCTATATTACTGTATTATATTTTAATTCTGGTGCATGGTTACTTTTGTGAAGTTTTTACATATATGTCTTATAAATACAATTTACATGTCTTATACAAGATTGTAGCGTCATGAGTTTAAAGATTGTACTCATGTTTCTTTTATAAAACAAAATTAGCATCAATAAATTTTTATTGACTAATTGGTAGCTTGTTACTTCTCTGCCTACTGCTGCAGACTTGGGAGCTCTCTGATCTGTTAAGGTAAGAGTATCATTCACTCCTTTTGATCGTATAAGAAAATGGAAAATAATAATCCTTGAATTTTGGAGTTGGAAGACATATCAGAGGTTATTTTGTCTGACCTTTAGTCAGAAAAAACACTCATTTTCTAGACTGTATGTTGGAAAAGAAGTTAAAGATCATATAGGCCAAGCTGACAAGAGAGGAGATGACTTACCTAAAGAAATATAATCGGCCAACAGGCATTTATCAAGTATTTACTGAGTACTGGGCTAAGTGCTGGGAATTCAGATACAAGCAGAAAGAAAGATAGTATCTTACATTTCTTTTTTCTTTTTTATTAATTTATTTTGAGTTATCAACAATCACTTTCATAATCTTTTAAGTTTTAAATTTTTCTCCTCCTCCCTCCCTTTCTCCCTCCCTCCCTCCTCAAGATGGCACACAATCTGATATAGGCTGTCTCTCTCTCTCTCTCTCTCTCTCTCTCTCTCTCTCTCTCTCTCTCTATATATATATATATATATATATATATATATATATATATATATATATATATATATATATATACATATATATATATTCCTATTAAACATATTTTCACATTAGTCATGTTGTAAGAAAGAATTAGAACCAATAGGAGGAACCACCGGAAAGAGGAAATAAAACAAAACAGAAGGAAAAAAAGAGCAAATAGAATGCTTCAATCTGCATTCAAACTCCATAATTCTTTCTTTGGATGTGGATAGCATTTCCCACCATGAGACTTTTGGAGATGTCTTAGATCCTTGCATTTCTGAGAAAGGCTAAGTCTATCAAAGTCATTGCAGAACATGGCTGTTACTGTGTACAACATTCTCTTGGTTCTGCTCACTTCACTCAGCATCAGTCCATACAAGTCTTTCTAGGTTTTTCTGAAGTCACCCTATTCATCATTTCTTATAGCACAATAGTATTCCATTACATTCATATACCACAGCTTGTTCAGCCATTTCCCAATTGATGGGCATCCCCTCAATTTCCAATTCTTTGCCACCATAGAAAGAGCTGCTATAAATATTTTTGTAGATGTGGGTCCTTTTCCCTTTTTGATGATCTCTTTGGGATACAACCCTTGAAGTAAGTAGCTTACATTTCAATGGTGGAGGATAACACATAAAAGGGAATAAAAAGTGGCTGGAAAAAAAATGATAACCAGTTGGAGGTATGACAGGGGAGTCTTGTGGAGATAACCAGCAGTTCAGCCTGGATAGGAACTAAGATGTGCTTGGTCTCAGCCTCCTACTTAAAGAAGAAGGTCTAGGAGGAACTAGCCAACCAGAGAGAGAGGGACCTTGGGGATAGAGGGTACTTCCCAAGTGAAAAGTAGACCAGAGGTAGAATGAGCTTCCAGGGTGAAAAGGTTTCTATGGTATGGCAGAAAAAGTCCTGTGGAGATGACTCAGCCATATAGCCTGGAGGTGAATGAAGAACACAGTCTCATATGTATCAGGTCCAAGGCTTGAAGCCAAATCCTTTGATTTCAAATTCAGTCTTCTTCACACTATAGACTAGAATAATTCCTTCTACTATATCCCTGACAAGTGGGCAACGACCTCCACTTGCAGAATTCTATGTTGAGGAACTTATTACTTCATGAGGCAGCCCATTTTCCTTTTAGACACTTCTAGTTATTGGAAGGTCCTGTCTCTTCCTTTCTATAGGCACTAACTTTTCCTCTCTGCAACCTCCATTCATTCTACTTCTGCCTTATGGGGCCAATTAAAAAGGTTTACTTCTTTTTCATAACCTTCCAGATACTTGAAGGCAGTTCTAAATCAAGGACTTTCTTTTTAAACATTCCGCCCTCCCCTTTCCCCTAAAGTGTTATTATGAGCAGTATGGTGGGAAGGGTGATGTTGAAGCAGAGTCCATTGGTGTGTTTGTGGTTGTGGTTGATGTTGCTGTAGTTTAAGAAGCCCAGGAAGTGGCCTGCTTAACAAACATCTTGTCCTGAATTGCAGGACTCTCCAGATTTCCCCTTTCATGCAATCTGGGACAAGATGATGGTTTTTTGCAATAATTTCCTCTTCCCTTTAATTTCAACCAAAGTTGAATCCTTGAGGTATCTGTACATGAAATCTTTCAGATGCCTCACCAGTCAGGATTCTCTTTATTATTTTTCTGGTTAGATTATTAAACTGTGAATTCTTGGTCCACATGGAATAGTTTTTTATTTGTTTTTTTTTCCCTTTGTTTTTAGTATTCCCACTGATTGGTCTTTAGCTAGAAGTTGCAAAGTCCTTCTGCAGCACGGTGTATGGCTCAGAAGAGGCTCTCCAGATCTTAAAAGGCCTGCAGCAAAGATCCAGGTAGGGGCAGGGGATTTTACCTTGCATAGTGATCAAAGCTGCCCAGGTATTCTAGTGTGGCATGGTAGCAGAACTGATACTGATCCTCTGTCTGTACCATGGCTGCCCTTTGTGTCCTTAGCATTTTGACAGTCTGGAAGATATCTACAACACCTTCATATCTCATTCTTTCCAATACAATGCTCACTGTTATAAAGACACCTGTTCTTCTAACACCTGCACTGCAATGGATTGAGATACCTTTAATCTACTCTAGTCTTTAGTCTTCTTGGCTAAACAGTTTAAGTTCCTGCCACCATCCTCTTTCTATCCTTTTCCCAGATGTTGGAACCCTCTACAACAGTGGCTCAACCTAAAGGTTCTCTGCTCTCAGAAGAGATGAGAGACTCTGAATTTATCCAATGAAGGGAAGGAAATGGAGAGTGTTTGGAGCTGGAGTTGGTAATGGATAGTGTGAACTCTATTCATAGCCACAAGATAAAGGAGAAAGTATACAGCTGAAGTGAAATGGTGACATAAACTCAGCTAGGGTCAGTCCTCTTCCTCTAGAGTTTATTTAAGGCAAGGACCTAGGCTGAACTGAGCTCCATTTATAGAATGGGAGGAAATTGAAGGCATTAAACAGCTCAGTTTTGGGGGAATGTGTGCAACAGTGGAAAGGAGAGGAGTCAAAGGGTGGGTGAGACACCCAAAAGCAAATTATGGAGAATAAAAATGGAAGACTAAACTTTTACCTAGAAGACCAGAAGTTCAGAAGAGAAAACACTTTACCAAACTCATTTTATGAAATAAATAGTCCTAACACCTATACTAAGTAAAGATAGAGGAAATAAAGAAAACTATAGACCAATATAATTTTTGAGTACTGATGCAAAATTTTAAAAAGAAAATCCTAATAATAGAAATTATACCAACATATCAAAAAATGACTCATTATGACAATTTTGGATTTATGTTGGGGATAAAAGTATAGTTCAAATTTAGGAAACAACATAATTATAATTTTAAGAAATGAAGATTATATCATTATATATATATGCATAAAGAAACTTGGACAAATGAAAAAATACATTTGTCATGTGTTCAAACTGAAACTCTTTATTTGGGAGATTTTTAATCAGGTTAGAAAATTCAGTTTTAGGGTTTAAAAAAGGTTTGTAGATACGAGTTTTAATAGGTGACCTGGCTTTAAAAATTTTCCAGTATGCTTTTATT